GTGGTAAAAATTTTGCATCTTTTTTGGGGTCAAAAAATTGACATTCTCAGTAAAATTCAGCTTGTTCGTATTATTTTTAGGGGTTCAATAAAATTTTCGTCTCTGATGAGCGGAGTATCAGTAATTTCATGTGAACTGTTCTGGTAATAACTCGTAGCGCAACCGATGACGCCGTGCGGTAAGCCGAGGCCATCGGCTAGACCTTTTTGTTATGCCATCTCAAGCATCTGCCTATATTTTTTCTTCTTAGCTGCTAATATACACACCAGAGCCCTGTAAATTAGAATGGAGTTAATTACACCATAAAGTACTGCCTTTTTTTAATAATCGGACCACTTATATTCGGCAATAATCTGTCCAGCTTTGCCTTTTTTTTGTTGCAATTTCTAATTGTCTTCCAAATGTCAAGATAAATCCTTAGATATTTCAGATTCTTTTTCACAGGAATCTTAAAGCCCTCTATTTGGAAATCTGCCCTATTAATTTCTAGGGCCCTTTATGATATTCAATCCACTCTTAACTGGCGCTATCTGTGGTACGTCATCCTCTCGCTGATTATCTAAGTCTTCGTCCTGCAAGGATTAGGACGGAACTAGTAGATCTAGTTCAATAACATGTTTACTACTTGAGGAAGCCACTATAAAGATATTTTTAGCATCTTGTATATATGTAATACAAATACATACCCATAACAAACAAGTCGACATTATATAATATATGGTTCAAGGTTTATTTAAAAAGTTTTAATAAAAAAACCATTTAGCATTTAATAAATTTATATACAAATAATGATAATAAAATACAGATCTTGAAAATTTCCTATTCTGAATCTATTACATACATATCACATTTAAACTCATTTAATGTAAATAACAGTTTATACATTAAACGAAAATACAATAGATAACTTAATAAAGTATAAATTATTAAATATTGTATAAAAATATTTTGTAATTTTACCATGAAAAACATTACCAGTGTTTTCAAGAGTTTTTCGAGTGGACAATGATTTCTTTTCATCTTTTATACAAGAAAGTGCTCAAATAAATATTAATCGCTTATATTAAAGTCAAATTATGAGTTTTATAGATAAATAAAAGTTTGATTTTTACTAATTCCCAAAAACACGCAAGACTACTACCATTCATGGTAACCAACAGTCCCCCCAGAAAAGCTAAAACTATCGGTAAGATCAAATTTAAATTGTTTTAAAAAACACTCCCATGTGCATATTGGTAGTATTTATAACAAATATGTGCGCATTATATAAGGCTTGCTCTCAAAATGTTTATAAACCATGCATCAAGGTGAGTGCGCACTGGTCCAGACCGGCTCGCAATGGAAGGAACCACAAATCTTCGTTTATTCAAATGAATCAGCGCAATGATTCACATCGAAAAGCGCCAAAAACTCGAAGTGGGATACTTTTGCGGATAGTAGTTTCGAATAAGTAGGAGTTTCTAAATGTTATTATTGTTCTACAGCTATTTGATAGAGAGCGGAAACTCTCAGAGAACGAAAACCAAGTACATCAACATAGAACGAGGAGTGCGTCAAGGGTGCATTTTGCCACCCCCCCCCTATTATTTAATGTATATGCCGAACATATAATTAAAGCTAATGGAATCATCATCAACAATATCAGATATGCCGATGACACCGTAGTATTAGCAGAAACAGAAGACCAACTAAAAATATTGATGAACATATTATCAGAAGAAAGTCACAGGCTGGGCTTGTATATTAACTTTTCCAAAATTCTGGTATTCCACAAAAACCCCCATAAACAAATTACACCTAACATACAAATAAATGGTATCACCCTCCAGAGTTCCCAAAGCTTCATATACCTGGGCAGAGAGCTAAATAGTCGACTAGACCACTCAAAAGAAATTAGAAGACGAATTGAAATAGCAAGATCTGGTTTCATGAATATGCGTAAAATACTTTGTAACCCCAAGCTATCAGTCTCAATAAGATTAAGAACACTAGAGTGTTATGTGTGGTCTCTATTACTATATGACTGTGAGACCTGGACATTAAAACAATAATGACCACACGCCTTCATCTGGTCAATACTATCAAAATTAGAAAGACGTCATATCTCGGACACATAATGCGCCATAGGGAATTTGAGCAGCTCCAGGTAATATTAGAAAGCAAGATTGAAGATAAAAGGGGCATAGGACGAAAGAAAAATCTTGGCTATGAAACATCAGAGATTGGACCCACACAAGAGGAAATGAATTAATTCACCAAGCCCAGAACAGAGAGACATTTGCCATATTGATCGCCAACCTCAACAAAGAACAACCTCCTCTTAGGAGGAGGACCTATTTGATTGCGGCTTCTTAATCATATTTACTATTTTTACTGGGAATAAGCAACAATTTTACTTTAAAAATTTTGTAAAAAATAATAATAAGTTTAAATGTTGTATTTTGTTTTGTGAGTTTTGTGTTTATTTTGTTTGGAACTTTTTGGAAGTTTATTTTGTTGTTCCTCTTCCTAGTAGAACAAAATAACAATAAAGTTTGGATCCATCTTTCAGAAACCTATAAATCCAAAGTCCGACTCACTTTTTTGGTTCAGTATGGGCTCTTAAAAGAATAGACCAAGAACGCCAACTTTTCGAAACCATCAAGAAAAGGAAAACGGCGTATCTAGGTCACATCATGCGAAATGAAAAATACCAGTTCCTCCAACTTATAATCGAGGGTAAAATTGAAGGCAAGAGAGGAATGGGACGCAAGAAAATGGCCTGGCCCCGAAACATAAGGCAATGGACAGGGATTAACCACATACAATATCTGATACATATTGCAATAAATAGAGAATTAATGGAATATGTGATCGCTAACATCCATTAGTGGATTTGCATCTGAAGAAGAAGAAGATGGGCTCTTATGGACTGTATAACTCTATTACCATCCTCTGCATTTTCAATGATTCCATCCTTATTTACCGTTGCGTTGTTGCCAGTTCCATTTTCTGTCAAGCATCTGAATGCTGTGTCAAAGTTTGTGTTCCGTGGCTAAGATGCACAAAAAAGTTAAAGATTAGCTTATACAAGCCTAGAAGAGTTGGATGTTTGGCAGACAAACAAGGTAATCCAGTACCAAGTGTGCAAGAGAGACTAGACACTTGAAAGAAATATGTGGAAGTAACATTTGCAGATGAAAGGCAGATTGTCATTGAAGATATAGAATGCCAAACAGGGTGCCCAATTACCATTGAAGAAGTCACGGCAGCTATTAGAAAAACTAAAGATGGTAAAGCTGTAGGACCTGACAAATTTTATACAGAATTCCTTAAACTTATGGACGAATAAAGAATAAAATGAATAACGACTATATTTAACAAAATATATATATATATATATATATATATATATATATATATATATATATATATATATATATATGCAAAAACATGCGAAGACTACAGAATAATTAGCCTAATGGGCCACTTACTTAAAAGGTTTTTAAAAGTGATACCTAACAAAATATATAAAAAATGTGAAGAACAAGTGTCATGTGGACACAATTTGGATTCCGCAATACCTTAGTCACCCGAGAAGCCCTATTCGCTATACAAGTGCTTATCCAGAGGTGCAGGGATGTCAACAGTGATGTATAACTTTGTTTTATCGACTATAAAAAGGCATTTGATAAAGTAAAACATGACAAGCTCATATCCATCTTGAAAGAAGCGGGCTTGGATGATAGAGATTTGCGAATTATACATAATTTATATTACAACCAAACTGCCAACATTAATATGGATGACAAGTTGACAGAGACAATCTCCGTAGACAAAGGAGTGAGACAAGGATGCGTTCTGTTCAAGGGACAACTACAGGATTACGTCTAAACAACATTAGATATGCTGACGACGCAGTAGGTTTTGCAGATGGCCTAGATGGTTTACAAGCAATAAAGTAGTTAGTAAGCGCGAAATATTAAATACATATCTTATGATACACCAACAGCCAATTGACAGGGTAAACAGATACACATATTTTGGCCCTAACATAAACAGTTAATAGGACCACTCTACTGAAATAAAACAACGCATAGGGAAAGCAAGATCAGTGTTCGCAAAGATGAAGTCTCTTTTCAGAAGTCAAGATTTACCACTTATTACCAAAATCTCTATCATCAGATGTTATGTATTTTCTACACTATTATACGGAGTATAGTATGGACGCTGTCTGAAGCTTCTTTAGGAAAGCTCGAGGCCTTCGAGATGTGGTGTTACAAGCGCATCTTACGAATTTCATGGATGGATCGTGTGACTAATATTGAGGTCCTACGTAGAATGAGCAAGAAATGCGATATCACTAACACAATCAACGAGCGCAAATTAGAATATCTTGGTCATGTTATGAAAAATGAACGCAAATATGGCTTTCTGCAACTCGTTCTTCAGGCAAATTATTTGAAAAGAGAGGACCAGTCAAAAGAAGAATTTATTGGCTTCAAAACCTAACCTAGGAAGTCGTCCAATACGTCTACAACCGGACTATTTCTAACATCTGCAAGTAAAGTTAGGATAGCTATACTGATCGCCAACATCCGGAACGGATAGGCACCGTAAGAACAAGAATTATATTCACATAGAACATAAACATAGACAGAAGTGATTAGTACCAGCTATATCAAGCAACTATTGACAAAATTGATTTATTTTTTCATTTAACCCATACTGAACGATAAACGTGAGACGCACTATTCTCGCTGACTGGCGTTATGGTATATAATTCCGGTGTACCGGTGCGTTCCGTTGCTGGCCGAGTCGGTCAAATGCGCGCTTACCTTTATAGTGATAACAACAAAATCATCATTTCTTATTTAAACTTTTAAAGTTTACACTGTTATGGCTAGCGCAAAAAATAAGAACATTTTAAACTTTGCTTTGTGCTCGCCATTTTTTGAGCAATGTTTTTTTACTAGTTCTATGCCTCATATTTTCGTCAATATTATATTAAAACATCAATAATCTAAATACTACGTATCTTTTAAAATGGATAATTTTGTGACATACTTAGATACTGATTTAGGAACAACTGACAGACATAAGCTAACACCGTGACTATGTTGATCGCTTAACTATTTTAAGAGTTCTGTAATATCCTTTTATTCAGTTCTTCGTATATCCTAATTAATAGTACTATCATTGGGAATGCTTTCATATACTATTCTAGTTCTTCTCGAGTTATAAAAACAAGCGATTACAGCAACACCTCCAAGAACTATTGAACCGCCACAAACGTAAGTCAAAACTTCTCTATAAAAATTAATATTACTCTTATCGTTATGTAGATATTGTATAATCACGACAGCAACTCCATTTGCTAGTTTGTCAATAAAGCTCATAACTCCGTATACGAAAGCACCATTATGAGTATCCTCACCAATAAAGTCGGTAGTGATACCTAAACTAGTCACTAAGACAATAGATCCCCCTGCTCCAATAAGGAGGGCCACTGCGTATATACAATAGTTTATATAGTTATCTCCATATCCAAACTTTATCCAGATACAACCTACCACCCCAAAAATAGTTCCTAACATGTAGGTTACTTTTCGACCAAGATGCCTGTTGATCCATTCTATGAATAAAGAAGCTACAAAACTACCTATAAACATGACTAGAGGTACCAATGCCAATGAACTGGCAGCACTATCAAGCGTCTCGTGAAGGTATAGTGGAATAAATACCTGAGACAAGTTTACAAATAACCTGGAAGACATGTATACGACACCTATCCTATAAATCGTGCTTTTCCGTAATAAATCAGAAATACTCGTTCGAACTTGTGTACCTCTAACGTCATGCCCGGTACCGTTCCTTTCTTCTTTAACAAAGAAATGAAATATTGTGGAGCACACTATACCTACTCCAAATACAGACAATACTACAAGTTGAAATTTAGGCTCGTCACCAGGTCCAATTTTAGAACTGTCTCCATTGTGAATGTGTAAAACTATCCAAGTAATAACGTAGACTAGAACGTTAGATATCACAGTAAAACAGTAACGTACAGCGGTCAGTTTAGTCCTGTCGTGATCATTGGGTGTAAGTTCAGGAATAAGTGATAAATGTGATATTTGTACGGCAGCCCACCCAAACTGGAAAATGATAATAAACATACTGTAGTAAAATACTTCTGCTGTATTACGACTATTTGAGCATCCTAGACATTCAGAAAATATAAATGGAAATGTGCCGATTACACAGATAGTACCTAGAAGATGCCACGTTTTTCGTTTTCCATAATTACATATCCACGATCCAGCCGATTGGTCGGAATGATAGCCGACAAACGGCGTTGATAAAGCATCGGCTACTTGACCAATCAATAGCATTAGGCCTGTCTGAAAGTTGCTAAATTGTAAGACATAATGAAAGAATACTAGGAGGTAGGTGAACCACATGGAAGCACAGACATCGTTGAGGACATGTCCAACACCATAGGTTAGCTGCAGCTTCAGCGGTAAGCGCCTATATACCTCCGTATACTCATTACTCATGCCCTCCATTTTCAGACGTTGAAATGTTGACACTAGAGTATGCTTGAACCTGGCAAAGTTTATCGATATCTTTAATGACATAAATTTCACGTTTCTTCAGTCATCTGAGCATCTGAAACAAAAAAGGTTATTTTATATTATTGAAGTTTACATAGTTTGCAAATTAGTATCTATGAATCATTAGTACAGTTTCAATCATTCATTTTCACATATTACATTAAAAAATTGGCTAAACATTAAAATTTTAGCAATATTTTCCAACAATTAGTCTATATTCTAAATACAGACGTAATTACAGTCCTACAAATTTCACTTTGTCTTTTCTTGTCAGATGCGGATAGACAGGGGGCGAAAAAAGAGAAATTTCGCCCCCACCCCTCCCAGGAAAGTTCATAATTAAAGAAAACCTATTATTAATTCTGTTTTGTGGTTTGGGTTTAACTTTTTTTATGTCTTTTGGTTGATATTTCTTTGGGAAGTCTAGATCTGCCACTGTTCAAGGTTGGATGCTACTTTTTTTAATGCGGGCCGGCTTGATAAGGAATGACAATTTGTAAACATAACGTCGGAGAGTAAAACTCATTTATTCTGATACTAGTACAATCCGTAGCACAATTTTAATTATAAAATTTTAATCAGTAGTAAAACTTATGTCCACAGGTTTTAAATTCCCTTAGTAGTGAAATAGTCTGCAATATACTGTAATTTATGACCTTGTAAGAAGAACGTGACGAGGTATTACATCGACAACAGTATAGGGAAGGGTTTCAGAAACAGTTAGTAAAAGCAAGGGCACATTTCAAACTTTCCATTGTAGTCCCTTCAAGATCGCATGGGATTGTAGCTTAATATTCAAACAAACACCTGCTGATCAACTGAAAACATAGAGCCTGCAACTGTGTTATTAACTTTAGATTCGTTGATTAAACAAGACAAACACATACATACACATACTCACGTTAAGATTTATTTGATGCTTGGTAAAAACAACAAGTTTTGCCCAAGCGATGACCCAAAGGGCCAAAGAGCTCTTAGAAATGAGAGAGTCTACAAATCAATAGGTCTCAATGACACCTATCAGGATCCTATAATTGAATATTCAGAACAGTAAGACAGCTTCGGCAGAACTCACTGTTGCTATAAGAAGGTTCGATGTCGTCTTGATACAAGACATGTAATATAAGAGACTTAAAGAGGGTAAAAAGTCTATTTAATGTGGGCATATAAATTATATATAGTCCCGAATATAAAACATCTACCGAAGTCCCGACAACTTGTATAATAGTTAATGAAAGATGTACGATAAGGCAATTGGCTGCAGTACGATCGGTTAGGCACAGACGGTTTCCACATAACAAAAAACATACATTTAGCTAAATTATGTGTATTTAGTTACTATAACAAGTTACTATAACAAAACCCCAGTAACAAAACCCCAGGACCAGATGATATGTACGCAGAAACAATCAAGTTACTTAATGAAGAAAACCTAGACATTATTGTCAAGCTCTTTAACGACATCTACGATACGGGCCAGATTCCAAAAGATTGGCTTCGATCTACATTTATCGCCCTACCAAAAACACCACGTGAGAAGTTATGCAAGGACCACCGACTAATAAGCCTAATGAGTCACTTTTTAAAACTTTTCCTGAGAATACTTCACACTAGATTGTTTAAGAAATGTGAAGAGGTCAGTGGATGGAGTCAGTTTGGTTTCAAAAATGGACTTGGCACGAGAGAAGCGATCTTTAGTATGCAAACATTGATACAGAATTGTTTAGATCAAAGAAAGGATGTTTTTATCTGTTTCATCGATTACGAGAAAGCATTCGATAATGTAAAACACGAGTTGATGATAAAATACCTACAAGAGTTGGGATTGGATGCAAAGGATATAAGAATCATCGCCAATCTGTATTGGAATCAGACAGCAACAGTACGTCTTCAAAATTCCAACGAAACAGAAGATTTCTCCATTAAAAAAGGAGTAAGGCAAGGTTGTATACTGTCCCCAATGCTGTTCAATTTATACGTAGAAAAAGCCTTCGCATAAGCAGTGGAAGACTCTAATAAGGGTATTAAAGTTAACGGCATATTTATTAATAACATCAGGTATGCCGATGATACAGCCATAGTGGCAGATAACATCAAAGATCTTCAATGCCTTTTAAATGATCTAACTCTTGCAAGTGAAGCTCGGGGTTTGAAAATAAATATCAAGAAGACAAAATCAATGATTATAAGTAGAAATGATTACCCCAACGCAAAGATATATGTCTCTGGAGAAGAAATCGAACAAATCAGGCAATTCAAATACTTGGGATGTTTGCTAAATGAGGGTTGGGACCCCGAGAATGAAATAAAGAGCAGAGTTGAACAAGCCAGAAATGCTTTTTTGAGGCTTCGTAAGTTTCTGACTGATCGCAAATTGGACTTCAACCTCCGATGCTTACGCATCAAGATGCTTAAGTGTTACGTGTGGCCTGTTCTTCTGTACGGAATGGAAGCATGGACGTTAAAGGCCAGTTCCATTAACAAACTTGAAGTGTTTGAAATGTGGTGCCTGCGTCGAATGCTCAGAATATCATGGACGGACAGGGTCAGAAATGAGGAAGTACTCAGAAGAGCGGGCTTACAGGATAGGGAACTTTTTAATTATGTAAAAAGTAAGAAGACTGCATACTTGGGGCACATTATACGAGGAGAACGATACACTTTTCAGCAACTGATACTCGAAGGGAAGATAGAGGAGGAGAGGTCTCGGACGTAAAAAAATGTCATGGCTGCGCAATATTCGACAATGGACAGGAATCCACAGCTATGAAATGCTTCGCAATGCTGCTAAAAACAGAATTATTTAATCCAGAATATTTAACATCTCATCTGACAAGACGATGTACGGTGGACGCCTACGCAGAAATGCACGACACCTTAAGAAGAAGAAGTTACTATAAATTATACAGTAAAACCTCCCTTAATAAAAACCTTTTTAACCGAAACAGCTGACAGTTTTAATAATTTTGTCAAAAAAAGTAAATTTTTATATATTTTTTATATACTCGTATATGCTGTAAAAGATGTTTCAGAAAAAACACATTCAGTTTTCAAAAACTTATGGATGTCGACCACTTTGTTTTCAGAAAGTGTAATATCCATTTTAAAATCAAAAAAATCTTTCCTACAAAGCATTGTTGCAATGCTCACTCCCAAAATCTAAAAAATGGAGACATTTTAGAAGAACATCCTAAGGCATCTGTTATTATAAGAGACGAATGAATCCAACAGCGTTCCTGAAATTCTTAAATCTTTAAAAATGAAACACGTTGGTTATTGGTGTGGTGAGTCATGGGCCAAGATCAAATCTTCTGATGAAAAATGCCAAAACCAACTTTTTGATGGGATATTGATTGACTATCCTGAAGAAGAAAATGTTGAAGAAATTTAACCTTGAATAAAACATTTGCAGGATGTGACAAAATTATTTAAGAAGAGACACGTTAGTGGTCACTAGCCGATGACTCAGAAAATAAATTAATTGACCAGGACATCATCGATATGATCTTCATCCAGGCAACTTCAGACGACGAAGATGACGACAGGCAGCACACAACGCCGACGAGATATTCAATGCCTTAGAGGTAAGAATTTTATACAGTAGGCTTCATTGGTTAGGAATACGATATTGATTGCATAACGTTTTATTCTTTTCAGATTTATTTACAGTGGCTTACAGCTTAAATGATGCAGTGGGTACTCAATGACACAATAGTTTGTGTCAGTAGTTCAATATTTAAATTACATATTACATAAATATTATGTAAAAATAAATTACATACTAAAATTAAATTACTACAAGTCTTCTACAATAGCATAAGCTATCTTCTGGGTTTTAAATATACCAGAATGCAATAAAACACCTAAAAAACAATAAATCTCCAGGAAGTGATGGTATACCCGCGGAACTTATCAAATGTGGAGGTGCTTCTGTGACTAATCAAATATATAAAATAATACTGAGAGCCTGGAATGAGGAAAAAATCCCGGAAGAGTGGTGTATTGGAATCGTTTGCCCGCTACACAAAAAGGGTGACCAATTGGAATGTAGAAACTATAGTGGAATAACCCTCCTGAATACAGCATACAAAATATTTTCGAGGATCATATATGGTCGCCTAAGTACATATTCAGAGGAACTTCTCGGGGAATATCAAAGTGGCTTTAGACTTGGTCGATCAACAACAGATAGGATCTTTGTACTAAGGCAAATACTGGAAAAAACCAATGAATTCAATATCGATACATACCATCTTTTTGTAGACTTCAAATCTGCCTATGATAGTGTCCTAAGAAATAAATTGTATGAAGCAATAAATGAATTCCAAATCCCCGATAAACTGATAAGATTGGTTAAGGCTACAATGCATAATGTGGTTTGCAAAGTCGAAATACAGGGCGAACAATCACAGGCGTTTGGAACGTATGTTGGGCTGCTACAGGGAGACGCGCTGGCGTGTCTCCTTTTCAACATAGCACTGGAAAAGGCAATCAGAGATGCCCGAATAGACAACAGAGGAAATATTTTTAATAAATCATCCCAAATTTTGGCATATGCAGATGATGTGGACCTAGTTGCCCGCACAACACGCAAGCTAGAAGAAATGTATACCACCTTCTAAAATGCCTCAAAATCTATGGGCCTGCAAGTAAATGAGGAGAAAACTAAGATGATGGCATCAACACCCAACAATAGAGCCAGGAACATCGGTCCCCAATTCACGGTTGATAACTCTACCTTTGAAGTGGTTGACAAATTCACATACTTAGGCTCCCTGATCACCAAAGAGAACGCCATAACGGAAGAAATCAAGCGAAGGATAGTAATGGCAAACAGATGCTATTTTGGACTGAGTAGACATATGAGAAGCAGAAACTTAAGCCAAAAAACAAAAATAACTATATACAAAACCCTTATACAGCCAGTGTTGACATATGGATCGGAGACATGGACCATCTCCAAGGCAGACGATGACCTTTTGCTTATATTTGAATGATCCTGAGAGGAATATTTGGTGGCATCTGTGAAAATGGTGTTTGTAGGAGGAGATACAA